CGGGAGTAGAATTTCCCGCTGGGTCATACTGAACTGGCGCGAAATGCAGTAGTTCCAGTCCTACCTGAGGTTGATGCTAGAGTATTAAATGATACGAATGCTGATAATAACCGCACCTGGTAACACTGAGGGCTTACCTTTCACCTCTGTGGCTGACACGAGTTTCTGCTTTTTGCTGTGAAAGTCAGTTGGTCTCGAAAAGCCAAAGCTGGACAGGTGGCGGTCTTTTAACGCACAAGTTAACTTAGTTCATAAAAAGGATCCATTTCCTCCGTAATGTAACAGTTTACTTGGAATGAAACAAACCGCTACCTCCTGAAGCAGTAGACTGGCGACGTTAAGAAACAAGCGTCTCTCCTGCGGAATCTCGATTCTAACTTACTTAAAACTAGCGAACAAGGCCTCATCAACCGCCGTCTGTATTTGCGTACGTGATCACGTATTATGATATTTCAGCCGGATATTTGAATATCCTGGCTACCATCTTATGAAGCTTTTTCTAGAAACAGACGCACTATTTTCCGCGTTGTGGTTTACCCACGCAACACATGGATCGGGGAATGTTCAAAAAACACGCTGAAGGCACGAAACATACGTGACTAAAGTCGAATGTTTTAATGAATAATTCACATGTTTCAATCAGATTGTAAGTGCGTATTTCTATATGTAGAATACTGTTTCTATTAACCAAACGAAATTGAAAAGAACGCTTGCCGCCTGGCCTACCATGGCCATGATGAATTTCACTTTTTACGATAGATGAAGAGAAAGCTTAATACGGTGGCATTTGAGGGGGTGGGGAGGGTAGGGGGGCCGGGGGGGGGAGAGGAGATTTATGAGCGGAATGGGATGACTGTGCACGGAAGCAGTGCTACCAACCCACCGGCCATAGTACTCCGCGTATTACAGTATGGTCAATATGCGGCTTTATTTCGGTTTTCTACTGATAGTAATGAGCGGCAAGGGCAAGGAGTTGGCGCTCCAACACTTACTACATTATTTGGAGATTCCAAAAAAAGAAAAAAAACCATACAGCGCACAAGAACATCACTTCATAAGCAACAGAAAGTTTGGGTGAGTTTTAGAAACACTCAGCGAACGCAAAGCAAGCGGAGCAGACGGTCTGCGATTACACAGTGACTTATTTGATTACAGTGATAGCTGGCCATTAAAGCAAGCCATATCATTAATTTGGCCCACAGTCCATTTAGTAATTACTCCATGTATTGTAACTGGTTCCAACGAACGAGGTAAAAGTGTTAAACTGCTCTGGTAACCTGTCGTCTAAGCCGTAGATAACATTATTATTCTTTTAAATATTTCTCCGTTAATCCTCCGGCTAATTCTTCATAACCTGCTACCGTTGACCATATTTGGAAGACGTTCGCGCGCGATATCCGATAAAATGACGTCAATGGTTCATAACAACAAGTGCAGAAAAAAGCATGGAAATCGAAAAGCGGAGACGAAGTTGCGTTAGTTCATGATCTAGCTTGAGAAAATGGCGGGAAATTTCACACGATTTGTAATGAAGAAATAGACAAACTACTGCCTCATAACAATGTAAAAACAGCAAAAATTCAACTCGACGGATGACAAAAGCTACCTCCATTTGCATCATTCTTCACACCACATTCGGCCTCATTCAACACAGTCGAACCTCTCTTTACAGACACCCGGCTCTATTACGGACAGTTTCCAATGTCCCGACAAAATTCTCATATATTTTCTTTAAAAAACCCTCTCTAATACGGACAACCGACACTGAATCTCGGCCCCAGCTGAATCCCAAATCCCGATCAGGTGAATCTGCACAGGGTGAATCCCGTCTAGTCTGGCTGGTGAGCTCAGTATGCAAGGTGATATAAAGCCCAGTCGCTGTATACCAAACAACGATTTGCGAAGGTTTACAGAGGAACATAAGCGAATGTTTGAACGCTTCAATAACTACAGATAGCATATATATCTTTTCCATTACATTTTGTAATATAGTTACTGCTTACTGCACTTGCAATAAAATAGCGAAAGATGCTTTCAGAATTGTGCTTTACCTTACAAATTCTTACATGCAGCATTGCGCTGTAGCTCGTTTCGTTTTACAACAGTAATTTGTCTGTAGCTGAGATGTACAATGTTGGGTGCCACTGAAAGACGATGTCTTTGTATTGTGAATTGATAACTTTAAATGCAGTTTAAAGACGAGAGTGAGCCTGGTTTTAGCTACTGAACTCCTAAAACTGTAAGTGGAGTCATAAAAGTGATGTCACCGTAGTGACCTCTTTTATACGGACACCTATCTAAAACGGACACTTCGCTCTGTCCCTTCGGTGTCCGTATTAGAGAGGTCCGACTGTAATTTCTTCGTAACCTTTTCACTTATGATTAGACTAAATTTGCTTGTACAAAGGGGCTATACGGGAAGCGGGAGGGGGTTGGGGTACGTCAGTAGGGAGCTTTAGTAACGACGACGGTAGAGGCAACGAGAACCTCAAACGCAATAGGTTTTTCTTTACCGTCACTGCACGACTACAACGACTTGAAATTCTCGTGCATGTGGCATTACCGGTCCCCTGTAATTCCGCTGTTCCAAGGAAATTCGCCTTCATGTACTTTTCACATTTTTAGCGGGTTGCAATAATCTCTACAAAGTTTGAGAAAGTAATTTTAACAAGACGCTATGGGAGCGTATATTTAGGCGCCGATGTACTAGGCGTGTGTGGTTTTTTATGTGTAGTAGGGATGTGTGAGTTGTACAGTAGCGTTGTATATTTAAGGGGTTAGTTGAGATGGTATTGGACGTGAATTGCTAAGATAATGGCTGTAGTCTGTTAATCAGTGGAATTTATTTCTTATAGAATTTAATATGAAGTAACAAAAAATAATTATTTTCGGAGGTAAAAGTGATTTTAGGTGTTGCAGTGAGGTAGTTGTGGAAGCGCTAATTTGGTTGTGAAGGAAAATAAAGTTGAAGTTGAAGTGTAGTTACAGTGTGTTAAAATGAGGTGGTGGTTGTGAAAAGTCTTCTCAATAGTCGAAAACATACTTTCACTTATTTTAAACGTTGTTAGGCTTTGTGTTTAAGATTGTTTTTCACTTACTTTGATAATATTTTTATGGGGAGAACATGAATAAAGCCCAAAGTTTATATAATATAGAGAAAGGGGTATAAAGATGTTGGGGGTGGGGGGAGGGATTTTGTGTGTGTGCTTGGGGGCTTTGAAAAATAGGTGAGGTCAAGGGCAAGGCGTAAAATCTGGCTGTAGAACTAAGGGCCTGATTACATGAGACGCTCTGGCTTGCTTTGCAGAGATCCTAACACCTTAGTTGAACGCAACAAAAAATCAACTCTGCGATTATACGACAACCAAGCCAGCCAGGTTAGCTGGGATCCCGGGTGGAAATTTCCCATTAGTAATCGCGCTTGTCGGGCGGCCCGGCGATTGAACCAAGCGAGAAACAGGACAGCGGGTAACACACTGTTAATGCGCATTGCTTCCCCGGCTCATGTGATCAGGCCCTTACTGTGAGTTGTATTGTCACGCAGTGTACACGAGAAAGCTTTGGAATTTGCCGCTTTCGTAATTCGTGTATGAAACAATATGAATTAAAACAGAAGGCCGTTTGCACGTGAAGATGTTGGACTATGCCCCTTTTACGGTTCGACCGTGAAAGAATGCAACTTGTTTACGACGTCATTTTGCTCAATAAGATTTTAAGAAAATCACTTCCTTTTCGAAAATATGCAATGAAATTATGCATCATTCAATGTTAGCCTTATTTAGCCCATGCACAATATCATGGATTTCTCGTGACATCTTCTTTGACTAAGAGCAAAAGTATTGTGCTGCGAAGAAGATTATTTTCCAACGAGAAAATTTACCCTGAAGAAATGTACCTTGTTCATACAAAAAATTGAGTTTCTATTGCGGATTTGTTTGTCGTGCGCTATCTGTGGGTCGTGTGTAACGAAGATAAATAATGTGTTGTGACACAGCGCGCGGCAGACATTCGCGTCGCTTGGCTTGTCTACGTTCGCATGTATTACGTACCTATTGCAACTTTGAATCAAAACAAGCGAACTACTCTACTCTATTTGGGCGACGCCCAAATAATAATGACTTTTTCGCTGCCATCCCCGTCTTCTTTTCTTAAAAGCTTAAAACCATTATGTCGTTGTGCAAACGAATATTCGCCGCTTGCACATCTCGCACAAACCTAATTGACCACTCCAGAAAATACCATAACAAACCATAATGCTCTTTGTTTGTCACCCGAAAATTTTGCATAAGCATTGTCTTCAGTTTCTCTTGGGAGTTAAAATGGCCCCAAGGGAAACTTAAAACAATGCTTATGCAAAATTTTGGGGTGACAAACAAAGAGCATTATGGTATGTTATGGTATTTTCTGGAGTGGGCAATATTATTTGCCCGTCCAAAATTTTGCATAAACATTTTTTTCAATTTCTCTTGGGATGGCTGTAATAACCAGGAAAAATTAAAAACAAAGGTTATGCAAAATTTTGGGAGGCAAATAAGAGGCATTGAGGGTGATGTACAAGTGGCGAATTGAAGAAAAACAACCACAGACAACCGCTGCCTGTCCCAAATTATAGTCAGCTGTATAATCACTAATTCGCCATTTGCACATCTCCTATAATACACCTTGTTTGCCCCCAAAGTTTTGCATAAGCATTGTTTCCAATTTGTATTGAAATGAGTGCAATACCCGGGAGAAATGAAAAACAAAGGTTATGCAAAACTTCGGTGGGCAAGCAAGATTTATAATGGGGTATGTAGAAATGGCTGCCAGTTCGCATAAGCACGGTCTAAATGACGATAGGACCACTGCTCCAGACTGAAATTCAATTTTCTTTCCCTCCTTTTTATATTGATATTTTTTCAACTTGTATTTTTAAAGTCTAACCCTTGAAAACCGCTTAAAGATCCAAAATACAAGTGCCGTACGTTGAGTGCCAACTTGTTTGCTCAGTATTACGCTTTCGAGAATTGCTTTCAGTCAGTAATCAGTTGAGTTTCATTGATGACATTCAACGGTCAAAGATCTTATGAGCCTGTCCGTGAGCACTGTTTCTTCCTACCGCTGATATGAGTCACTAGGTTATCACTAGCTGAAGTAAATGCCTCAAATGGTCTTTGCCGTCTTCGGACTGTTTCATTTCCTAATGACGACTCGCCCATATTAAATCTCTCCCATGGATTGATTGGTCCTGTTTTTTCACTAGCAAGACTTGCTGAAAGAAGGCAAAGTAAATACGAGAGTAAATAAAAAGACAAAAAAATGTACTAATGAGAAGCGTATTCGTTGAACCGCCTTTATGGCAGAATGTGGTTCGTTGTTCTAACCGTGAAATCGATCCATCCATGGATTATTAGGGACTTTAAGCAACGACGTTTTTGAGCGACGCACGTCAAACGAAGTGGCCTCTTTGTAGTTTTCGGCCGTGACTTTCACCAAATTTTCGGGTTAAGTAGTCTCTATGAGAGTTAAGACACTAAATAACAACACAAATTTGGAAGCATCATGGCATATTAAAAGAGAAAAGGACTCACTCCCGGTTGATCTCCTTCGCTCAAAAACGCCTTTGCTTAAGTTCCTTTATATTAAGTTGTTAATCGTTATTTCAAAACATGGCCACTAGCTATGTTCAAAACGATAGTTACGCGAATCCTCTCTTAGTAAAGACACTTTTTCAGATATATATGGTGTCTTTGAAATAATTTTAGTTGAGCAAGCCCACATTGCTCGAGCGTCCTGGTTTCTTTGGGCTTTCTTGCCATTTTCTCGTTAATTTTTATAATTTTTTAATATTGTAAAGAAATCATTTCAGCAACTTGCCTCATAAATGATAAGACTTAATGTATGTAAGGAATGCGGTTCAAGTCGATGCACACAGTATAGTCATTCCTTTATGAAGCGGACACTGGCTGGCGGAATGGCCAACTGAAGGTCGCTTAATACAAGTTGATCGACTCATGAATAGTGCCGGAAATTAATACAATAGTATACAAAAACTAGACGGAGCGTGATAGTGAACAATTAACACAGGTTTAACTGTAATGCTTGTTTACTGTAACTGACCTATAATGTTTCCTTTACACAATGGACAAGTCCTTTTCGCCAGAAGCCATCGATCAACACACTCACAATGGAACTCGTGTGCACATGACAAAGTCCGTACCAACTGCAACGAGGTATGTAAGGTAACCTTGTCAGTTTTACTGTTTGCTCTTTATTTAATCGATAGCCAGGTAGGAATAAGGTTTGACAGCCGTGGCTTAAAATGAACAATTGACCACGAAAAACAGCATTTGGGGATTGAACATAGATAAAAGGAAGTAAAATATCCCTGGCTAGTCATTCAAGGTTGGTCAATGGAAGAGAAAGGTATTTCGAGCGATTACTAGGACTGAGCCACATGGCATTGGGCAAGGGCAAATTTGATCAGATCAATCTAAAACCTTCCGCATTTCGAACAATTATCCGGCACTAGGACTGAGCCATATGGCATTGGGCAAGGATAACTTTGACATGGTATTAAAATATTCCTCGCTTATAATCCTATTTTGAACGAGAAAGACATTTCGAACGGATATCACTAAAACAAGTCACAATATAAAAAAACAGTATTCAGGTTCGGGAAAATAGATACATGCACACATGGGTTCATTTTCACACGACTTGTTGAGTTTCCAGAGCAACATAAAAAAGAAACTTATTTAACTTAAAAATATATCTAATATATCTTATTCTAGGAGGGAGTCCGAGACTCTTTAAATAGAACATTCACTTATCAAATGTTATAAACTAAACATAACGGAAATTTGAGATTTCAACGAGACGTAGCAAGATGCCTGTTTCATTACGATCGTCTGAGTTCTACAGAGTTGTTACATTGTTATACAGTTCAATATAATTCTGCATACCTGGTTATTATAGAATTCATCAAGACAAACTGCACAAACTTCAACGTCTCTCCTTTCCCGTCGTTTTGAGCTTGCAGTAGAGCAGGACGGCTGAGAGTCTTTCATAACTCGCCTGTATTTTCTTATCTTAAGTTTCGCTATTGCTTGTGCCGCCTCTTGCCTCAGCATTTGCTAAAAAGTAAAACATAGCCGAAGTCTCTGAGATGCGTGAGCTTTATCCAAAAGGTTTCCTCCAAGAATTTTCAAGACAGAGATCGTCTATTGAATTCATCGTATTGAATGTGTCGCTTAACGAGTTTAAGCAAGTTTTGTCTTTCAAGTCCTACATCATATCATTTTATTCTGTTGTTCAAAAAAAAACTTTTTTAGTCCGCCTAACACGTCAGGAAACAAGCCCATTGCGAAGCAGTTACTTCAGCCGTTCCCAATACTTATTGTGCGGTGAATTTTTCATGAGATCTGAGTTTTACCGTGAGATAGAGAGAAATATCAGTTTTTTACGGTCTCGCGGAAATTTCGCGCTGTTCCCTCCGAGGTGTGCGGCGGATCAACATTCAAGAAAAATACTTAAGTCTGGCTCTCGGATGTTTTCGTAGCGTTAGGATATGCCGTGATGGTTTAATGATGATCTGAACGAAAAAGGCAGATGGAAACTCATACCTCTTTTTTCGAAATCCAATAGTTGTGAAAAAGTTGGCTGAGCTGGGTCTGTAAAGATATGAAAAAAATGACGTAACGCAAAAATGCAGATAAAAGAAAAGCTAAGGAAACCGCTAGTGTGCCTTTTGCTTTAAACTTTCATCCACGGGGCTTTTACTAGTCAATAGTCCTACATTTCACTATCGTCTTTCACTTAAATGCAATTTAGCATCATGTCAAAACAAGCAAATCTTGGTTGTGGGCTTCCGGCCCGGGCAAGCAAATGTTTTGCTATAATCACTGTTCATAGGCTGATGTTGCAGCTAGTGCAAGGCATCACACAATTGGTTGGGAGAACAGAAAACAAAGTTAAAAGTGGAACCCAACCCTGGAACAAAAGAACTACGACAATATAGAAGCAAGTCTAATGAAATTGTAGGTCATAAAGAGTGAGACCCAACTTGAACTGTTCTTACAGAAACATTAGAGAGTGAAGCTACTTCAACATTTCGATTATTTTGCTGTTGCCTGGCTGCAAACCAGAGTTGATTCATGAGCTACAATTTCACGTGTTTCTATATCTGTATATTAACTCTCTACGAGACGCATATTTCTATTAACTTACGAACTGATGGTCTGAAAAGGGTGTAGCCTCTTCAAGGCTCTGAGAGCCGGTGATAGGCTGGAGAGGATGTGGCTTAAACAGGGTTCTCTTTGTAACGTACCTTGAGTACCAAAAGACAAAACAGCACTGACGCAAAGAACGCTGAAGATCCAAAGAACTGAGAGTTGACTTCCTACATGTGCCGCATAAAAATAAAAAGTCATATTACAATGCCGTCTGCACTACACCCGAGACAACTTATAAACAAGTCTTCTTACTTTGTGGCAATTTCTATTTTTGTCAAAAAATCTACAAGGTAGCACGTCGCATAAAAGAAATACCGGTACTTGGTTTGATAATTACATTTGTTCACTAGGATAGGATAATGTCCTCACTCCTCGGCCTTGTGTTCAAAAATTATAACTCAGTTATCACATATTAAAACGTATACAAAAAAATGAAATCCAATTGACTATTCAGTGGCTGTGAAGGTGTAAAGGCGAAGTTTTCATTTTTGTTTTCAGCGTGAGTAGTGAATATGTAAATTTAGATAAAAAGTGAAAAAAACGTCAAAAAGATGTAAAAAATATTGCGCACAAGGGCAAGCGCGTTTGGGTTTGAAGAGGGGTCTTCGTGTATGTGACAATAAATAGTAGGTCTGATGTGCGTGGAGTCACTGACCTACAGGGGAACAAAAGTCGCAGATATGCTGATAATGAACGACCCCTTGGTGATTACTTAGGACATATTAATTAATTACCTCGGTGCCTTTTTCAGGATTTCCAAGACAGACCACTCCTTCCCATCCACTGGGCCGTCCACAGGTCGCCCAAAAAGTTAGTGTGGATAGTAACTAGAAGAAATAACAATGTTGTATAACAATCGACTCCACAGGATAATCCGCTATTTTTAACTTAGTTTAAAACATTGTAACAAGATTTATCCCGTTGGTAAAAGAGAGCTTAAAGAACAAAAGGCTTCATGGCTCTGGCCACTAGCAAAAAGTGCATGGTTTAAAATACAGTAGAACCCAGGAACCCCGGTAACACGAACTCTGAAGGGAAACGAAAAACAGTTCAAGTTAGCGAAGAAGTCGAGTTATCAGGGTAAATTTCAGTGAAATTTTGATCAAGAGAAAGCAGATGTAGTTCGTGTTTGCGGGGAAATCCGAGTTCGAGTTAGCGAGGTTCTACCGTACCGATCATCCCCATGCACAATTTAGTTATTGTTCTTGACCGTGATGCATGGTTCATACTATCTTGAAAAGGCCTTGAATTTTACTAGTCGTCTAGAAAAATTCCTTGAATTCGGTTTAGGTCCCTGAAAAATATTTGATTTCTGTATTAGGTCCTGAAAAGTTCTTGAAATTTACAACCTTGTCTACGCCAGACACCTTTTTCTGCAACATTAGATTATTTTGCCGACGAAAATTTGGCTCATCCACGGTGTTAGAACCTGTAAAACTCACGGGCAACGTAAAACATTTTTGTGCATGAACAATATTTTGTTTCTGTTTCTTTATTTCGAAGCTATTTCTGTACCTCAGATGTAACAGCAAGTTATACCCAGTCATTTTGCAAAGTCTTGTTGCGGAAAGTAGTATAGTAATGTGATCAACGATGGTCGAAGAAGTAAAAATCGTAAACGATTCCATGACGTGTTTTAGCCAATAGGTCAGGGGCAACCAACGGGAATATGGTTCAAAACGACTTGAACATCGCATTGTTAAACGTATTTTAGTATTTTAACGCTAGATACAGGCATAGTTTTATCCCCTAAAAATTTTTCATCTGTTCGGATTTCCTAGGTGAAAGTCTAGTGATCCAAAAATTACAGGAATCAAAACTTACCTTTGCGAAAATTTCAGCCAGAAAAAAAGGCTCCCGAAAATTCCAGCTGACCTTTTTCGGGTAAAAATCCGTTAAAAATGGGTAATTATTATGGAATGCCGTTTGTATCAAAAATACTTCTTACCACATATAAACCTTTACATTAAATGTATAAAACATTTTGCTTTATGAATAAAACTTCTTAAGTTTAGTCTTAAGGTTATAGTGCACAATTAAAACTTGTTACAAAATATATAAAACTTGCTGAAAAATATAAAACTTTTCACGATATATAAAACTTGTCAATATATATAAAACTTGTCACGCAATCCTGAAAGGTGCAGGGGCGGTTGCTTGGCAAAGGGTTTTAGTCCCCCATTTTACATGCATTTTGCGCGATGAATTCAAACGATTTATTGAAGAACTTCCCTACGAAGAGTTGAGGCAAAGTATTTTTACAGAAGAATTAGAAGTTGCGGATCGGTTACTTGCCCTTTCAGAAAGGATTTGGCACGAATTTGTGTTTACTGCGGCCTTCCTCTTGACCTTGCATTGCCTTCGTCGACGGGTTCGGGTTGGCATCGAAAACTATTGTCATCACGGCCTTCCTCAAGCCAATTTACGCGCTCTCTAGTTAGACCTTCGTACAATTTAAGGAGTTGTTTGATCAGCTCAGTTATGTCCTCACTGATATCGCAGTTCAGAGACTCAAAGATGCGAAGGAAAAACACAAATTGGCGGCAAATCCTTTCTGAAAGGGCAAGTAACCGATCCGCAACTTCTAATTCTTCAGTAAAAATACTTTGCCTCAACTCTTCGTAGGGAAGTTCTTCAATAAATCGTTTGAATTCATCGCGCAAAATGCACGTAAAATTGAGGACTAAAAAAGAGACTGCGAACCAACCCAGGATTGCGTGACAAGTTTTATATATATTGACAAGTTTTATATATCGTGAAAAGTTTTATATTTTTCAACAAGTTTTGTATATTTTGTAACAAGTTTTAATTGTGCACTGTAACCTTAAGACTAAAATTAAGAAGTTTTATTCATAAAGCAAAATGTTTTATATATTTAATGTAAAGGTTTATATATGGTAAGAAGTATTTTTGATACAAACGGCATTCCATAAATTATACCCTTTTTTAGATGTTCGAAAATCCTAGGAGAGGCCGGCAAGCAAGAAATTTTACAATAAATGTTCTGAAAATTCTAGATCTCAAATCGTCTTCCGAACAGATATTTTGCTAACAGACTTACCTTCAGTTCAACTAGAGAAGAGTTATAAGACACTATCCCTCTAAGCTTCTGCTTTCCTCTACAAATAGACAGATAGTTTACGTGTTAAAAATTAATATTGATATTTTTTATGGTAAATGGTATTTATAGTGAAATTGTGCCGAAAGCAATCTTTCTTGCATTACGTCAACTTGGTTAGAGTTGTACTCTTTCCCGCTTTGTGACAATTCACACTTAGTAACTTGAAAATAAATACAAGAACTGTCTCTTGAACATCTAAGATTATACAGACAAAAGAAAAAGGATTACGATAACTTGTTGAGATAATTAGCAAAATAACATTGTATGAAAAATCTCAATTACGGCAAAATCCCACGTGTAAGAACCTACATTATCTTTTTTAAGTCTAGCAGAAAAAGAGTTCTTAGATTTTGAGGCAGTTATTAGCAATTTTAATAGGCTAAGCAGTTTCTTAAAATTTATTAGCTTTAATTACTTATTTTATAAATGAGAGATGTAGCTGTTAACTACCAGTGAAATACATGAACTTGAGTTTGGTCTTTAAGTATTATTCACAACTGTACATTGCAAATCTTTACACAATATTCATCAAGACATTAGTACAGTCTATACTTTATATAAACTTGTTTTTGTTGTAGGTCGGGAATTACTGTTATGTAACAGTACTGTAATTATTACATTTACAGTGTATGGTATTCGCATTACAGTTTGGTACAGCATAAAAATTCTTGTTGTATAAATTTGCAATCTCAAAGTCAAACTCCTTAGATTTGGCTGTAAGCCACATACAAGAACCTGTGTGATCTTGCTTGGCTTCACAGGTTCTAATATGTTTGGTTACATATAATTATTGTATTTAAGTGACAAATTTCGGCCAGTAGGTTTCTTTAAAACCACTGGGTTCTAACATGCAGGTTTTACTTTATTTATCTACACACAATACAAAATAATATCATAACAAGGCACAATTTATTTCTTTTTGCATTCCAAAGCAAGATGCACGATTTTGGACTTATAACTGGACTTGATTATTGGATGAGGCTGAGTGCAATCTGAAGAATTGTGTAGATCGAGGAGGATGTTATTTTGCGGATTTGATGCAAAATTTCTTATTAGTAAATCATGACAGACTGTTTGAATTAAAAATCTGAAATTTGTACAGAGCACTTGCCTTTGAAGAGCAGCCATTAATTTAGAAACATTTCTTGTTCCATTAACAGTTACTATGGGCCTTGGAAACATTTGAGCAAGGTCCAGCTGGTGATAAACAAGAGATGCAAGATAACTGAGGAGTTTCAACAGGGTTAATCTCACAGATTATGTGGGAGGGATTGGCTATCATGTTGTTACCCGGTAACCCTAAAACCATTGAAACAGAAATTTGTGATTTTCTTATCCTTAACGGCAATTTGTTACTTTGCTCAAGACAATTTTGAAGTTATAAGAGTTGCACTAGTAGATAACAAAGTTTATGGAGGCAGCATGCAGGTCATGTGGCATGGTTAGAGCGCTAGACTTATACTTCAGAGGCCCCAAGTTCAAGTCCTACCCTGACCATTCTGTAGTCTTCGGCCATCCTTGTAAAATAGCCAACAGGTTCACCTCCTACCAGTTGGAATTTTTAACCATGCTACATGTATGTTCCATTTAAAAATCATTTGTTTCATTATCCCTGAAAAGCACCAGAATTAAGGCTTCGACTGAAGAGTGCTACAATTCCCCACTCCAGAAACTATAAGGGAAATTTACAAGCTTTCAGTGTAATGACTTCTGAGATCGTTTGGGTGGACAAGCATTACTGTTGATTGGTTAATGGCTGCCTTGAGCACCATTGACCAATCATAGCTATTGCTAATGTCCACCCAAACAATCCCAGAAATGGCTGCAATGAAAGGTTGCACCCAAGTTTCTGGAGTAGGGATAGGAACTTTGTAGAACTGAGATTATCATGGGTATTTCCATACCCTACCTTTCTTAACACCCTCTGATTCAATGTGATAATAATTATAGCTGAGGCACCAAGGAACATTGCCTTCTTCACCTTAAAAATAATGAAACAAAAATTTGTATTAATGGGAAGGTCAAAATTAAAGTGATAAAGAAATTGATCTGCACTGATTTTATTTCAAGGATCAATAAAAATTACACCCTTGAAAGAGAGTGTGAATCTATATGGTGTCACAACTGAGAGCAGCTGTTATATTCATTTTTTTATCCTTCAATAGAGAAAAGTTGTCATCTAACTGGAAAATATGAAGTTAACATGTAATTTCCTGCGGGGCAACAATTCTAGTAACAGTCTGTAAATACAACGTCTAGAAAGTGCACAACATTAATTTGGAAATCTAAAACATTGTGATAGAATAGCATAGTACAAGGACTCTTTTGTTTGATTAGCCTGAGAAAACAGCTGACATTTAGTGACCCCAGCACTGGTTTCCCCGCCAAATGACATCTAACAAATGAGCGCAGAAATTCCATACAGATGACACGACACTACCCAGATCTGGGTAGTGCTTCTGAATGGTTGTGCCGCGTGGGAAATTTGATTCAACCAATCAGAAGCATTACCCAGGTCTGGGTAGTGACCTGTCATCAGTATGGAATTTCTGCCCTCGTTTCTCAGATGTCATTTGGCGGGGAAACTAGTGGTAGCGTTGCCAAATGTCAGCTGTTTTCTCAGGCTATTGGTTGGTACAGCATGCATCCCTCGTATGAAACAAAGCAGTTGAGCTCAAACCTTTTCCAAGACAGACCAGGACTTAGAGCTGCCTCTACGGACATTGTAGTACTCCAAGACAGGAATGTGTATGACACCAATCCAGCCATGACGTGCCTCATCTGCAACAGGGGTTGCATCATCCTCATCTGGATCAGAATCTTCTGAATCATAACTATCCATCTGAATTTAAAATTAATGACATTACTCACTTGCAATTCCGCTTATGAATCACTGGTAATTTAAGCCATGGTGTTAAAAAAAATTATCTTTATTGAATAAACTTCCAATATTTCTGCCAGGTGTCGAGGTTAGTGCTTGTAAAGGCTATCAATTAACAAATAATTACCTGATGGAACCTCGATATAATGGAGTGCCAAGGGACTGGCAAAATTTGTTCGCTATAGCGAGGTTCGTTTCCATATATTATGCTATTACTGAGGTCAACAAAATCGTTCTTTATGCCGAGGACTTCGTTATGGGAGAGGGTTCCAGTTTTATCAACATACAGAAGGTCTTCAAGGTCTTATTACTGGGGTCAACAAAATCGTTCTTTATGCCGAGGACTTCGTTATGGGAGAGGGTTCCAGTTTTATCAACATACAGAAGGTCTTCAAAATTATATCGCTTGCATTAAAATGCTGTCTTAGTTACGTCATAAAAGTGTTGCTGAAGGGTTTTGCGAAATTATTTTCACCTCTATTAGCTCTCCTTCTACTTGTTTTATAGCTCCAACTCTTGCAAATTTGCCGACGATGTTCGCAAATGGGCTGTTTTGCCCATCTTCGCTTTGGACAATAACATTGACGAAAGCTTTGTCAACTTCGCCCAATACCAGAATAGTGAAGCAAAGGACTCGCAAAAAGCAATGCACAAATCCAGATAGTGAAACACGAAGGGGAAACATCGTAAAAATCGACGAAAAAGATCGGCACCTCAATCCATTTCAACGCTTTTCAACGATGTTTACATCACAAGGCTCAAGAAAAGGCATTCGACAGCGGTTTTCAGCTCACACGATAAAAACGTCATATATGGTACCGTGCGTGACCATTCGGTCACCTGGGGAATAGCAAGGATAGGGGAAATAGCGCCAATTCAAAATGCTTAATATAGAGTGTTTTCACTCACGTGGCCAGCATCTATGCAAATTTATCGGAACAAAAGAAAGCGTTTGCATAAGAAAGGAACTCAACTCCCACAGGACTGGTTTGGGACACCAACATGGTCGCCGTTTCATTGTTTTGGGACACCAATATGGCCGCCGTGACGTCATGTGAAAACACTCTATATGATATTTGGCGACCAAAAAATAGCCTGCGAAGCGCAGACGCATTTCCGGTCGTCGCTTCTCTCCCTCCGAAAAATATTTTTCGGAGGGAGATTTTAATTTTATCCTATTCAGACCGAGACAAAACAGGCAAACACTTGATTTAGCTTTTAATATTAGTAATTATTCGATTGACCGTGTTAAGGAAGCTACTTTTCTTGGTGTAATTTTGGATGAACATTTAACATGGAAATCACATATACATAATGTTGCTAGGAAAGTGTCTAAAGCCATAGGTATAATTTATAAATCAAGTTTTTGCCTTAATAATTCCTCCTTACGGATGCTTTATTTTAGCCTTATCTACCCATACTTATTCTACTGCGTGAGCGTCTGGGCATCGACCTACCCATCAAACCTCAGAAGATTAATCACACTTCAAAAACGGGTCGTAAGAATAATGTCGAGGAGTGCTTTCGATGCTCACACTGACCCCTTATTTAAAAATTTAAAAATTCTGAATCTTGAGAGTATCTACAAACTTCAAATAGGAAAATTTATGTATCAATACAGATCTGGCTTACTTCCTTATAGCTTCAATAACATGTTTCTGGTGACACGCCAGGTGCATTCTTATGGCACTAGAAGTTCGGAGCATTTTTATTTACCACAATGCAGGACTAATATAAGAAAGTTCTCCATCAGTTTCCAAGGTCCTAAATTTTTTAACTCTCTTAGTTTTGACATTCGAAATGCAACAAGTACCGCTTCCTTTTGCTGTAAGCTGAAAGCATTCCTCTTATCATAAATAGTAATTTATATATATATATATATATATATATGTATTCTTTTTTCTTCCTTTGCTCTTTTATTTTCTTTTGTTTTTTTTTCTTTTTGTCATTTCGCTTTTTTTAGCCTAGAACTATGATTAGTACGACTATCTAATATACATATTTTAAGATTTACTGTAGCTCTGCCATTGATTTTCCCGTGTGTAATTATGATAATATTTTGTTCTAATTATCTAACTGAGGGGGCCCATTCCTTATAAGCCCGGTGGCTTCTCTTGGGCTTCCTCGCCATGAGAGTTAAGGTAATTAGATTTTATTTGATTTGTATAATTTTTGGCAAACAAAACAATAAACAATAAATAAATTTTGAGGGGCTTATCTACGGAGGGAAATTTACGTTTCAAAATCGATTGGGCTAGCCTTGTAGTTGGAAGTAAATTTACCGTTTTTGCTCTGTTTTACGTTGTATTTGAGGGCAATTTTATTATATTTGGAGGGGTGATTTAACGGAGGGTCTTTTTGCATTATCGGTTTGGGGGGCTTATATTTGGAGGGGGATTATTTGCGGAATTTTACTTAGTAAGCTAGCTTTGTTGCATTTCTTCTTTTTCAAGCAACCAGCAAACTACACAAATTTTAATAAATTTAGATTATTTTAAAATATTATGTTTGCAAGAGACACACTTATAAACAATATTGCAGGCCTTCTTCAGATATAATAACTCCCTCTCTTGATTGCATTCTGCATTTGTGAGCTAGAAAATCACATTAGTTGAACCTCCATTAAGAGGCCACTTAGAAAAGCGGCCATAATCAAAGTCCTGAAATAATTACATAGAACCCAATAAGAGTTTTCTCATTGTTGTCACCTTTATTATATGTAAGTGCATAGCCATCAAGCACTTGACAGACTACTTTTGGCTTTATTTTCAGAATTTGATGAAGGAAAACAGTCCAAGAAAGGTGACGACTGATTGTGGACCAGTAATGCTGTCCCTGTCATGTGTTTGTTTTAAAATAAAGTGATGTTTCTGAAAATATTATGCTAATTAACCTCTGTTGAATGGCCAACCCCCATAAAGTGGCCACTTCCCAATACCCCGAGGGTGGCTGTTTAATGGTGGTTCAACTGTATTATACCTCTTAATATGTAATTATTAAAATAATAATCTCATAAAATCTCAGACAGCAAAAGTTCCTGTTTTATTGCATACATGTAGGTCAAGAACGTGAGCAATGGTGAAAACAAAGTGTGATTTTTGCAGTCTAATAAAACCCCTACATAGGACTTTTAATACCACGCATTTAATTTGTAAGCATGCAACAAGAAATATGTAAATTGAGATCATAACCTAGCTGTATTTCCTTCATATTATGTAAATAAGTCTGTCAGTCTGGGGTCAATTTAACAAAACTTTTGGAAGACTCAGGGTAATGTCACTAAGATTTCAAGTTGCCGGGTATATACAGCAAGGAGGGTGGGAATCAAACGGCTACGGATTTATTTTGGTTCTATTTTTCTTCTATTTTCCAATAAAAGTAGCTGGGGGCAACTCTCTTAGTAGCCGGGGAAAATCCCTGGCCCCCGGCTCTTAATGACAACCCTGAAGACTGAGTGCACAATGTACCCCTTACTAGTTTTTGTACCTAAGCTACATTTAATTAGTTAGTTTCCCTGGCCTGAAATAATGAGTGACCTTAACTTGAGAAAATAATTATTAATATGGTATATATCATTGATATTTTAACATGATTTTAAGTCAATAACTAAGTATATTCATGTGTTAGGACGCAGCATTTCTAAAAAACCTTATTATGGACTCTCAAAACCTGAATCATAAGTTAAAATTTGGCCAGATGGGCTTACACGGCCATCTGAAGGACTATAAGTGTTTCGAAATTTTTGTAGCAGCTCCATGTTGAACATAGAAAAGTTGTCTTCCTTTGGCTTTTCATTTTCCTTCCGTGATTTGTACCGCTGATAGGGAGAGTCATCAGGAGAACTGCATGGATGAAGAAAAAAAACTTAAAGATTATATTTCTACGAAACGTTAAATATATGACTTAAATTGAATAAGAAAAAGGAAAAAATGGGAATCAGCCCTTGCTTTAATCTTTAGTGTTGAAAGGTATTGGTTTGGTCACTAATTTGAGAGCTGAATAAGAAACAATAAAATCAAAATTTTTTTTATAATTCATAAAATCCATCTTCCAAAGAGGTTTCATTATTTTGAAGGGAATATCATCTGTAGGATTTTTCCCACAGACATAAAAGTTGCATCGAGATCTTGATTAAGCCACAACATGGTCAGCCATCCAACAGTGAAAGTGTTGAAATCCATGAAAACAGTTTTTGTTACAATCAACATATTAACCAGCCAAACAAAGGTTTGTCACTACAAAAGGTCATCTTGGACGGAAGTTGTCCATTGACCCACCATTGTTTAGAGCCCTGAGAACACTGTGTACTGTCTGTGTGGGTACAATTTTTATTAAAGGGTGGCAGGAATTAGCACCTTACCCAGAAGAAGATCCAGTGAGTCTCAGACTGTTTCTGGCAGCTGCAAGGTCATCTATGGAGGGACACCTGGTGGAATTCTTTAAGTGAACACTGCTACTGCTGTTGTTGATCCTGCATGAATTCAGACAAAGAAATACCAGTATTTTAAGAACATTCATTTGGATACTATATTCATAAGCCACTGACAACATGTTTACCTCTTTTGATTTACACCAGGCTTTGATTGAACTGCTTCTGTGTATGAATTTTTGTCATGCAGCTTTCTTCTTGCTGGAATGCTTCTGATTGATTGGAGCAGTTCCTCTTCTCGGCGGAATGTTCCGGAAGGAGTCCTTGGAATTTGCTGGTATGTTAATCTGTTTCGAGTCATTCAAGGAGTTAAATATTGGTTAGCACATCCTCTACATTATATCCCCCACCAATGATCACCTCGTGCAAGGGTGTTATTAAAATAATACCTGTATGTCATTTTAATTTTATAGTTTGGTGGTACCCTATGTAGGACTCTGTGTACATACGACACGTATAAGATTGGGCACAAGCTGTGAAAAAATAGAGACAATTTGAAAGAAAAATTGATTTAAAAAAACTAAATCAGCTTCAGATGGTACGTTTCTCACGCAAAAGATGTGTATGGACAACTTCATTGATCTTGGGATAAGATGGTAAAGCCTTGGAAACAAGAAAAGAAAATCTCTTGTTTCCTTCATTGGTACTAAGCCAACCAATTTTTAAAACATCATTTATTTTTTGTCTCTAACATCACATCCAGTGACATAACTGGCTGCAGCAAATTGTAAGCGTTGAAGTCTCTTCAAGAAAAAATCAGGAAGTGGATAAAATAGTCCCCCAGACTGGCAAAAAAATTGTTTATGAGGGATATCAAGAAGACAAAAATGTTACACACAGTGTGCAATAAATAATTTATCTATCAATCAATTTTTATTAAAACTTCACCTTGTATCAGCGGGTAGATGTACTGGAGAAATCAAGCCCTTGGAATCTGCAGACTAAATATATTTTTGCTAAATTAACTGGAGGATTCTTTTTTTTAACTTGCACATCAATGACATCAGTGAAACCCCTGTTTACAGACATCTGTATAATTATAACAGACAGTTTTGTCTGTCCCAGCGATAAGCTCTTAATAATCTTTTCTGTAAAATTACCCTGGATAATGGACACATTACTTTAATTTTGTGTCCTAAGTCACAAACTCTCATATATCGTATTAGCCCTGCTTTATAGACACTGGGTATCTCTGCACATTTTCTATTTTCATTTTGTGCCAGTTGCAGGGTGCAAAGAAAGTTATTTTTACAGCTTACCATTCAGGCAAGCTGAGGCTAGCATATACTAGCCCAAACGTCATTTCAACTAGTAGTAGCCCCAAAAACTTTTTGATGAGCTGAATTTCTTTCACAGTTCTTCTGTAATTTGAATTCCTCAAAAAACTTCACTTGCCTGTCAGGCACTAGCACAATATTTCACTAGCACGATAGCAAAATCCACTAGCCTTGTAGCCTGTGAGCAAGCTCTCCTATTTAAGCGAGTGAAGCAAGTCTCGCGAGAACGCGCTTGCCCAAATAGGAGAGCGTGCTCGCAGGCTACTAGCCCTGGGCTATCGCGGACACTACATGTACTTTCTTTGCACGCTGCCATTGCAATCGATTTTATCAATTATAGTGCACATGACATGTTCAATTTTGATAATTCTGTCTATCTTGCGATGGCCGTTTGATAAAGTTTTCTATTGGTTATAATACACAAGTTTCACTTCCTTTAGCTTTTTGCTTTCAGTCATTGCACCTTTATATCTTTATGCCAATAAAAAACTTCTCTGTGAATTTTTTTGACAGCCAGCTCAATATGGACACCTGGGCCTGGTTCCGCGAAAGACGGTCAAGTTTAACTCAGGCTTAAGCCAAATTTTCAAGCAAGATTTTCTTGTCTGAGAACATGCAACTACTGTTGAGCCTTTACTCCGAAATACAGTAATGATAACACAAAATGTTACTCTAAGCAATGGATCTCAAAAACAAATCATGGATTTAGCACTAATCTGCCGTTCAGGAACAGGGCCCTGGATAATACAGACTCCATGGTATGTCCCCTTAGCTTTTCTAAAAGTTTCTTTCGTCAAATGAGTCGTTAACTTACCATGATGGGTGGTGGGGGAGGGGGCGGTGGGGGTGCAGTTGGTTTCTTTGGTGTGCTTGTGTAAAGTCGCTCTACTTTACGCTTTTCTGCCAGTCTTCTGGAAAATCTGATCCCAGTCTGCTTACCATCTTAATTGAAAAGGAAAATGCTAAAATTATGTGACATTTTCATATTTCATCGATCGACTGCTACGTCAAATAAGGATCATATGTTTTGCAAAACGTTGACAAACCTTGTGCGTAATTGAATGCTGATTCCATGTCATGCATCAGGTTTTCTAACTCTTCTCTACATTGATTTTCAGGAAAGTATTTTTCTAAATAATCATCTTGTAACTTATTTAACACTTTCACTTTAAGATACTGGAAAAGTTTGAGGTTGTCGGCCTTTTTTCTTCGGACAATCTTGTAAAACTCCTCTGGTTTCGCTTCGATGTGATTGATCAAATCATGCAAGGCATCTCTTGTGTTTTGAGCAGATCTTTTATCAAACTCTTCGCTTGGTATCTGCTGACAAAAGCTCACAGGTAAAGGCGAAGGTTGGTCGAATTCCTCAAGTAATTCCGCCATCCCGTTTCATTGGTAAATCGCCAAGCTGAAAGAAGAGCCAAAGGAAGTCGTTTTTCGTTTGAGATATTTTTTGATTTTTTCAAAAAATGGCGCTTTGATGAGTAAGGACTTGGTACGAGTTTAGAAGGGCCAATCAAAACTCAGATATTTCTCTGAGACCAATATTTATTGTGAAAGCGGTCGACTGTACAACCAAAGCATACGTCATGTACCTGGTCCTGAAGATGATCTCATAAATTTTTACAAACATGGCGGACCACACAAACAGGGAACTTCGATTCAAGGTAAATGGGTCGAAATTCATTATTCTTTCCGTATGGACTTATGGGAATGTAATTTTCCTGTTTGTGGTTCCTGGTTGTGTAAATGCGAACTTTGTCGAAAATGTGTGACATGTAATGTCAACATGCATATTTATTAATTATTAGCCGGAAATCCCGCGTCAGAGTACGGTATTCCTACTGCATGGAAATCTGACTGATCTTTGAACTGCTTATTGCCCTTTCGTCTTCTAAATAGTTGATACAAGGTTTTTTTTTTCTCCACACTAAGAACTGAGGAAAATGGCTGTTAGGAACACGATACTCTTGAAAAGGGACATTATATGTATGTTGTAGGACACGGGAAAAGGAAAGGAAGGGGAAGATATGAGCTTATATGTTACAGATCAAAATTATATTCAGGTTAAAATTTTTTAACCTGGGTTGATTCTCAATTTTCTTTGCCTCCTAGCCCCTAATTCACGAATATTAAGGGTTAGGAGAGAAAGGAAATAGAAAATCAACACAGGTTAAAAAATTTTAACCTGAATTTAATTTTGAACTGTAACATATAAACCATGTGCCAGAGCAAACAAGTTCAGTCTTTCGTTGCCTTCTGAAAAAAAAAAAAACCTTCTGTATCAAGACATGGAAAGAAAACCAAACATCTTTATTCTTAATGGCTCGGTCAATTCCAAACATGCCCATCCCCCCCCCCCCTCCTGGCTTTTGTCCGACATGTGTCTTTTTGTTTTGGAAAACCTGCAAATTCCCCATGGTGGGGCTGAAATGTCATGCAAAACCCCCCCCGTGGGGCTTAAAAATAGGTTACAAAGCCCTCCCCCGGGGCGAACCCCAAAATTAAATTTCAAATTAATATTCTAACCTCTTTCCCCCCCCGCCCCTTTTCCCAATTCAAGGAAAAAAAACCAAAAATCTTTTTTCTTAATGGGTCGGTCAATTCCCAACATGCCCCCCCCCCCCCCCCCTCCTGGCATTTGTCGGACATGTGTCATTTTGTTTTGGAAAAGCTGCAAATGCCCCATGGTGGGGCTGAACGTTCATACAAAACCCCCACAGTGGGGCTTAAAAATAGGGTACAAATGCCTCACCCTGGGATAACACCAAAATTGAATTTCCAATTAATAAGCTGCAAATACCATATTTATGGGAATTCTCTAATAACTTGCTGATCAAAATGTGAGAAGCAACCTATGCAAATCACCCCTAGCCGCTAGTTATAATTGATGCAAAAAAGATCACATCCATCTGACTTAAGTATCAATGACAGAACTGTAAACTAGAATTTAAATAATACCTTTCGTATGAGTATTTCCTCATCAGGATAAAACTGTTTCATCAGCGTGTTACTTGCTGCGTTGATCGTACAATACACAAATTAAGAATTTGTTCATGCTTAGCGTGCGTATATCGAGTTATGGATGCACGCGGGAAGTTTGGAGAGCACAAAAGATGCGTAAGAGTTGCACTAGGCTATCGCCTCGTGCAACTCTAGCTTCTTGAGTGCTCTCCAAACTTCCCAAGTGCATCTATAACTCGATATATGCACAGCTAAAAGCATGAGCAAATTCTTTTATAACATAGCTGACAAAAATGCTTGCTTTTTGATTAACTGAAAAATTCTCGTAACTCGCTACACAATAACAAACGGTTCTATTGGCTGATTACGAACACGCCACAATCGTCTAGTTTGAATGAAAATGTTCTTTCTGTAAAACTGAGAAAGAAAATTTGCTTCTTTATTTGTTAACGATCAATGGAAACTAAGCAGAAACAAAGGTAAAAGCGTCTTAAAGTTCACCTTAAGTTAAAATTATACTAACATGTTCGTAAGAAGTCATGGAGTATGGTTTGGATTTGCTGAAAAGATGTTTACGTTTTGCTCGGCGAAATCCAGAAAACATGTTTTTAGCGAAGACGACTGTCATCCTTCTTTAAACTTATATTCATTTATGAGCATTGGCTGGTCATTACGGCTTCTTGAGAAGACCTGGCAGCAGTTGTTTTTGTGAGTAATAAATTTATGTCTTCTTGTGTAATTTGTGTTGTTATTGC